ATCCCCTAGTGGTGAACTGCCATATGGCAGTCTGGATGGGCATAGTCATGGCCTCCATCCCTGGGCAGGGATTGGACTGTTGAATACCAGTAACTGTTACCTGACTACCTTAGCAGGGAATCTTGTAGATTACATGAGGATCCTCAGGATTCATGTTAGTTTTTCCAGCTACAGAGCCTAGATGTGCTATGAAGGTTCTGGGGGCTCAGCCACAGATATAAGCTAAGTCAGCATTTGCTTCATAATAACTCACTTAAAATAACTTTTAATATGAGATATTGGATGCTTTAACACTATATTAATACAGTAAAACACCACTACTTTCCCTTTATTCACATGAGAGTACTATTTTCAAAGAACTTCAACAATTTAACTAAGCATATTTTTAATTTGCATGTCATACTACTTGATGTAATGGTAGGATTGCCAACTTTCCAATCACACAAAACCTAACACCCTTGCCCCACCTCATGTCCCTCCCCTTCCTGAGGACCCACCCCTGCCCTGCCCCTTCTCTGAGGCCCCGCCCCCACTCCCTCCATCCCCCCTCCCTCTGTCGCTCGCTCTACCACACCCACCCTCACTCACGCTCACTGGACTGGGGCAGGGGGTTGGGGTTCAGGAGAGAGTGAGGGCCCTGGCTGGGGGTGTGGGCTCTGGGGTGGGGTTGGAGATGAGGGGTTTAGGGTGCAGGAGGAGAGTGAGGGGGTTGGTGTGTGGGAGGGGGTGTGGGCTCCGGGAGGGAGTTTGAGTGTGGGAGGGGGTGATGGCTCTAGCTGGGGGTGCAGACTCTGGGGTGAGGCTGAGGATGAGGGGTTTGTGGTGCAGGAGGGGGGTTCTGGGCTGGTGCTGAGGGATTTGGAATGCAGTAGTGGGCGCAGGGCTTGGGAAGGGGGTTGGGGTGTGGGAAGGAGTGTGGGCTTTGGGAGAGGTTGGGCTTGGGGCTGAGGGGTTTGGAGTGTGGGAGTGAGCTCAGCGCTGGGGCAGGGGGTTGGGGTTCAGGAGTAGGTGCTGGCTCTGAGAGGGAGTTTGAGTGTCAGAGGGGGCTCAGGGCTGGGGCAGGAGTTTGGGGTGTGGGAGGGACTGAGGGCTCCAGATGGGGGGGTGGGCTCTGGGGTGGGGCTGGGGATGAGGGGTTTGAGGTGCAGGAGGGGGGGGTCCAGGCTGGGGGAGGGGTGCAGGCTCTGTCTGGGGGTGTGGACTCTGGGGTGAGGCTGCGGATGAGGGGTTGGGGATTCCGGAGGGAGCTCTGGGCTGGGACCAAGAGGTTTGGAGTGCAGAAGTGGGTTAGGGTGTGTGGAGGGGTGCGGGCTCCAGGAGGGAGTTTGGGTGTGGGATGGGGCTCAGGGCTGGGGTAGGGAGTTGGGGTGCGGGAGGGGCTGCGGGCTCCAGGAGGGGACTCAGGGCTGGGCAAGGGGTTGGGGTGCAGACTCTGGGAGGGAGTTTTGGTGCAGGATGGGGCTGGGGGAGGGGGTTGGGATGCGGGAGGGGGAGGGGGAGCAGGCTCCAGGAGGGGGTTCTGACCTGGGGCAGGGGGTTGGGTTGTGGGTGCGGGTTTGGGATCCAGTCGGGTGGTGCTTACCTCAGGCAGCTCCCAGTCGGTGGTGCAGCGGGGTGAAGGCAGGCTCCCTGCCTGCCCTGGCTCTGCATGGCTTCCAGAAGTGGCCGGCATGCCCGGCTCCTAGGCGCAGGGGTGGCCAGGCGGCTCTGTGCAGTGCACTCTTCCCGGGCCTACAGGTAACACACCTGCAGTTCCCATTGGCCATGATTCCCAGCCAATGGGAGCTGTGGAGCTGGCGTTCAGGGTTGGGGCAGCATGCGGAGCTTCCATGAGTGCATCTGTTCCTAGGGGCCACAAGGACATGCTGGCCACTTCTGGGAGCCATGCGGAGCAAGAGCAGGAAGCGAGCCTGCCTTAGCCTTGCTGCACCGCTGACCGGACATTTAACGGCCCGGTCAACAGTGCTGACCAGAGCCACCAGGGTTCCTTTTCGACCAGGCATTCTGGTCAAAAAACGAACACCTGGCAACCCTATGTAATAGAGAGTGGAGACTGGTAATTTACTAATGTCTTATCTCCATTTTTGTGGCAGAACATACAGTGCTTGTTTGGTTTTAATACAATATGTGGTTAACGTGTTAGTAAGTGATCAGTGAAAGCAATAAAAACAAGTTAAATAATAATCATATACAGTGTTTGTGCTTGAAATGGTTCTGCTGGTTTAAAAGCTTTTGCTAGTTTGAGAAAGAAAGAGAATTTTTCTATATGTATAATGGGGAATATTGGTAAAAACTCTCAAAATGGAAGAAACATTTTAAGTCCATCCACATTTCAAAATATATACCAAGAAAAAAGGTTTCAACCAGCCCTGCAGAAGAGTAAGCATCCTACTTCTCAACAATTCTCTCTTTCAGGACCAATGCTGTCTATACAGGATGTGAGCTCCGACCCTAACTGACATATATTTGCTTGCTGCGTAATATAGCTCTCAACTGAACAATAAATGTATGTTCACCATTTTTTAATCCTCTACAACTTGTCATAACAATACTCCTAAAAATCATTTTGCTCATTTCTTTTTTTATTTGGACTTCACAATTCATTAATATATTTTGCACTGTATAGACTCTGTACTTGGTCTGTCTTAAATGTCCTATCTTCTTTTACATAACGGTGAACTCTTACTTTTCCATACCAGAGGACCTGACCCTTGACCTAAGAAGTTCAACTATAAGTGATTAGCTTCCTACAGGAACTTCTGGGTGAAACTGGAAGGTCAGACTACATTATCACACTGGCCCCTTTTGGCCTAGCAATCTATGACTCCATAAAGCCCCACCATCTTTTAGGAATTTTTTTTTAACACACTTGCTATTTCTTTATCCTCTAATTCTATACTAATACCGCTTAAGGGTCAAATCTTTCTTTTAACATATTTCTACTATGGTCATCTTTTATCAACTCTTTTAAGTTAATTGAACTATCCTCTCCAGTTAAGCCTAAAAGTGCCTTTTCTTCTACTAATTATTCTTTTCACTTGGCGAATCTTATAGTATTGCTATTTGTTTTCAACTCATCCTCCTCAGCCAAATCTCATTTTAAAAGACTTCTGTATATTGCTCCTTTATATCCTTACTTAGCCACATTGGTCTCTCTTGTCATTTTACTTATATAGTCTTAATGCACATGAATATTAAATATCGTCTTCAATTGTTTCTTGAATATTTTCTTCTTTTCAGAAGTAAATGTCTCAAACAGAATAGAAGCTATCAAAATTCCTTAGATAAAATGCTTTGGATTAACACAAACTAGCTGTCCTTAAGTAAAAAACTACTTGATTTCATTAATACTGGCTGCCATTTCTACTGCAGATTTCATTCTAGTATGATGACTACATCCTAACACGATTCCCAAGTTTTGTTTTGTATTATCACATTTCTGAGGCGTAGGTCTGAAATAGATTCTGGAAAAGTCAGCTGTTTAACAAACCATATAATCAAGAAATCTAATTTACTGTTAGAAATGTTGTGTTTCCCTTTTTAGTTTTCACAAATTTATCTAATTCATTACCATTGAAGTTAAAATTTTCCGATGACAAGAGTACTGGCCCACTTCCAGATTTCTGATAAATGTAAGATATGTATTGATTTATTTTCTATATCTTTGCAGTTCATTGAGCTCTATTATGTGGTTCAAAGCCATCCTTTTCTTCATTACAAGGGTGCAGCCTTTAAAGTTCCAATCCTGCAAACTGCTCCATGTGGGAGGGAGGACCTAGGTGACCACAGGTCACAGCATACAATTCCCCATCTTGATTCAGATGACCTGACCCATAGTCTGTGTGGGCCACATGTTTGTATTAAGGATGAGGGAGGCTGTGAATTGTTCCATTACACGCAAAATATATGAAATCCTTCTGCTCCTGGCAAATTTCTAATGCGGACCTTAGGTGGGCAAATATCGGGCATCCCAAGCTGCATCAAAACTAAACAATACATCTTGGATCCTTTTATTGTTTTAGCTACTAGCCATATTGTCTGTGCTGTGGTAGCCAAAGCATTTATTAAATTTCTGTTTGCAGACTCAAAATGATGGCTTATTAGTATTCCCTGATGTGTTCTGTCTTTCTTTAGTCTCACCATGTGGTAAACTCTGGATCTATAGAATATACAGTATGTTTATTACTTGCAGGAACATTTTGAACTTTTGAAACATTTCCAATGCTGTTTGTTTTACTTATTAACTCCTCTTATTTCTCTGTATGGTAAGTAAATAGATGCAATCCACCTGTTTTAGGTGTTAACTTAGTTGTAGTGTTAGTTTTTTTAAAGGTATATTTTGGAGCTGGGAAACAGTGTTCCTATCCAGTCACATTTTTCAAGATTTCAAAAAAAAATCCTGCCTAGAATTGGGGTGAAAAGTAGAAACTGCAAAAATTTGCATGAACTGAAAATCCAGGAAAAAAAATGGACCAGGCCAATAAAACATTTGTTTCAATACTTTCAAAATGTTTTATTTCTATTTTCACATATTTTATGTATTTTCAACCTTTATTAAAACTATAAATCAACTTACATTTCAAAACAAAAAGGAGGGGCTGTTCTGAAATCAAAACTTTAATAAAAATGTTTTTAATATCCTGCAAACAGTTTTGATTTTTACAAATTTGCATTTTTTTTAACAAAGTTTAGTCAGAAAACTCCCAACATGCTCTGGTATATGACTGCTGAATGTTTTCTCTAGATATATTTGTTAGACATGCTGAAGCAATATTTGATTTAAAATTTTCTCACTTTTTGTTGATGCAGGTTTATAAAAAATAATTCTAGTATTCCTCCACTTATCAGTGGTTATGTGCATCTATAATTCTTGTGTTTTGCACCCACAGCATGACTTTGCTGTGGAAGTCTTTTAGGCAAGGTAAGTATAGTAATGTATTATGGATTTGTTGAAACATGAATTAGAAATTGTGCTTTTTGCAGTGACCTTAGAGGACAGCCTGGAATCCTGGATTGTATTATTTTCATCTTTATTCCCCAAAGCACAGCAGCAAAGAAAAACTTCAATAATTAAGGGGAAAACATACAATATGGGTTTGTACAAGCAACATACTAACCCCCTTTCCAAATGCCCCTTCTCAGTTCCCATAGTTCTTCTTCGAGTGATTGCACATGTCCATTCCACTGTAGGTGTGTGCAGGCCTCATGCACAGTTGTTGGAGATTTTTTTCCTCAGCAGTACCCATTGGGGCAGTGTGAGTGCCCTCTGGTGCCTTGCACCGCTGCACACCGTTGCCCCTGATCCCCCTCACTTCCTTTCTACTGCCAGTGACAGTTGGAGCTGCAATGTCTGTATTTACATATCTTCCCTCCATTAGTGTACATAGTACCTGTAATGTTAGTTTTTAGTCTTGTACAGTATATTTGTAAATAGTTAGAAGAATAAGTTTTAGAATAGTATTTTTTTGTGTAGGGTAATCGGTGCCTGGTTGGGTACCAGTCTCGATACTGCTCTAATGTCCCATTCTTCTGACTTCAAGGCCTGTCGTTCATGTAACAGGTCTATGACAGTGAGTGAGCCACATCCCAGCTGCCTTAAGTGTCTGGGAGAGGTGTCACAGTTGTAGAGTGTTCAAACCCTGCTAAGAAAGGGACAGGGCTGCCAGACTCAAGTGCCTGCTTATGGAGTCTGCGCTTCATCCACCATTGGAACCTTTCCACTCTGAACGGGTACCAAGCACATCTGAGTTGGTTAAGAGTGCCCCCCCTGTTATGACTGAGTCCACAGGCAGGTCCACGTTGGTGGTGCTTAAGAAGAGACTGCATAAGTCTCTTAAAGATTCAATACTGGGCACTGAGTGGACGCAAGGACTCGGAGAGACGCGCAAAGAAATCTCACCAGGAGCTGCGGGTGGCCATGCCTGCGGATGGTCTATGTAAACAACCTGTCTCGTGGCCTGCCAGCGGATTACCCTGACAGGACGCGTGCAGCCCACCACTGCATTATAGTCTTTAAAAAATGGCACACTCTTTAAAAGTGATAAATTTGAGCTAGTCTTTGAAAAAATATCACTTCAGTAAGTAATGAATTACTAATTCCACAATTACTTTATGTGGGACTAGTAATACATTGCTTGTGATTTAAAGTAAGTAATTACTTCAGTCAAAATTCATTACTGAGTTATGTAATTCTTTACAAGCCATACTTTAAAATTCAAATTGTTTTGTTTTGTTCACTGTAATAAAGTAATTCTGGAATTGGTTATACATTTGTCACTCCTAAAAGTAGCTATTTTTATTACAAGTAGTTTTATAAAAATTATTTTTGGCCAATTTTTTCAAAACTGATCAGTGATTATTTGGGTGTCCACTCTGAGCCTCTTGAAAGGGGAAGGGCAGGAGATAAACATCTGAAAACTGCCCTTTGGGATACATCAAGTTGAGCAACTAAAAACTGAGGCACCCAAAATCACTAGTGACTTTTCAAAATCTTGTCCTTTTCTAGGATATTTGATATGAGAGGGGAAGAGACACCCTTAAGGCCAGATGGCATCTGGCTCTAACAGGGCGATGCAGTGGAATAAGAGGGAGTAAGGGCTCATTTATACAGAGACTTAGTGCACAGCAAGCCAGGGTGTAAATCTACAGCAACCTAGTCTGCCACGCTATAACTGGCAATGTGGACCCTGCTGCCACACAGGAGAAGTTCCAAAGTTGACATATTTCTATTTCAAACAGCAGTAAGTCAGAGTGCACTACAGAACTTTCAGTGCAGAGCAGCAAGGTCCACAATGGCTTGTTACAGCACAGCAGGCTAGTGGATTGTAGATTTACAGCCCAGTTTCCCGTGTGCTAAGTCTCCATATAGACAAGCCCTAAGATTCCCCATCATAGAATTTCCCACACCTTGGTTTGGAGCCCTCAGTTCCTCTATCCAGTGAAGTAACCAAATATATAAAGAAAAGTGTTGGCAGTGCTGCCTCTTCATGGCCCTTTCCCTTTGGTGCATTGCTTAATAGGGTTATAATAGAGGAACACTTACTTCCTTTAGCTAAAAGGATTACATTACCACACTTTTTTCTCATCTAATATCTTGACCAATATACCATTTTATGACCTCCATTGGCTCTTCATCTTTGTAAGATAGTATGCTCTCCACCTACAGGAAATTGGAAAGGGAAGAGAAGAATCCTCCATAGCACACCATAGGCCTGGGTGGCTGCAGACCATCTATGCTTTCTCTAGCATAGTGTAAATGAGGTGAGTGGTGTCATGTGCATCTCCAGATGACATTTTAGGGTAAATGTTTTTCTCTTCTTTAAAGATACCTATCATCATAACTGAGGCCCAGTCTTATAAATGAAAGAGCTCTAGTGTCTCTGTAAAAACCAAAACACAAAACTAGATCAGTGAGAAACATAGGCAAGGATACTATACTTTGAACAATAAAAATATATTTTTTTAATTGCAGGCAGGGCAGGATTAAGGCATAAGCACCCTTGCCTAGGGTCCTAGCTCCTTGAGTCATGTGATTATACCAGAATCTAAGCTTTCCTCTAAAAAAGTAAATTTCTAGCACTCATGATTGCAAATAAAAGGGCTCATCTACATGGGAAAGTTATATTGATATAACTGGTTAAACTTTCCTATGTAAACAAGCCCTGAGTATAATCAAAGCAGCAATATCTGCCTGAATCTGTAGACAGCCTGAAACAATAGCTCTGAGATGTGTGAACTGCCCTGTATCTCAAAATGTACTGCTCCAGGGGGTCTTGCTAACACACCCCCAATAAAGGACTCTGTGGAGGAGAAGAGTGCAGTGGGCCCAGCCCACTCAAGCAGATACACCTTAACTGCTGAGTTAACTATTGGGGGGGAGGAGGCAGCTGCCATCCCCACCTTTCTGGGGCCCCTATTTTTCCTGAGGAAGACACTGCAACCCTGGCAGAGTTAGGGGGGCTCCCTGCCACTGGAACGCCAAGTGTGGGGTGGCTCATTGTGTGGGCGCAGGGCTGAAGGGTAAAACCAAGAAGGGCCCTGTGTCGTGGTGTTCCTAGGACTCATTTTACCTTAATGAGTGGATACAATTTAACTCTTAATTATTCATAGATACATAGCTTTTTTGGCCAAAATGGATCTGTGTGGCATCTGGTCTGATCTCCTGCATAACACTGGCCATAGAACTTAAACCAGTGATTCCTACATTCAGCGTGTTGAATTCTAGATGAGTTAGACCATATTTTTGAAAGACATCCAGTGAGATTTAAAGATTTCAAGGGATAGAGAACCTACCACTTATTGTTCTCTGAAGATGTACATCACAACAGATCATCACTCACCCTCCTCACCACAGATTTTAAGATTCTGTAATTTTCAAATCTCTCTATAATTACATTTCTTTTTATTTGTATGTTAGAGATTTTATCTTCATCTTTGAAAGGATTTGGCAGTTGAAGTACATCTGTGGTATGGGTTAGGATGAAACTGTCTGCTTGAACAAATGATTTTGACAATATTTAAGATAGGTGGTTTTTCCTCCATTACATTCAGTGGTGTAAGCATGGATGGTGGTCTTTTGTGATTTCTAGCTACAGAAACATCAATTACAGGTAATTGATTCTTATTCTTTCTGCTAAATGTATTGATTTTGTTTATCTCATGAGCATTAAAGTGTTAATTCAACTGTAATGTCAGCAGAAAGGTTGCAATGTCATAGAATCATAGAATGATAGAAGATTAGGGTTGGAAGAGACCTCAGGAGGTCATCTAGTCCAACCCCCTGCTCGAAGCAGGACCAACACCACCTAAATCATCCCAGCCAGGGCTTTGTCAAGCCGGGCCATAAAAACCTCTCAGGATAGAGATACCACCATCTCCGTAGGTAACCCATTCCAGTGCTTCACCACCCTCAAAACCAGTGCTCCACATGAGGCTTGAACTCTCAGCCTCAGAACATCTGTCCAGGTACTCCTTCTCCATTGAATTGCAACTCTTCTGTACTGAAGAATCCTGCTCTTCCATAATCAATCCCCAGTCATAAATAGATAACTTGTTAGAGACACAAGTGCTACTTCATTATTGTGACTAAATATGAAAAAATATACTTTAAGGAAAAATCCTACATTGAAAGGAGAGGAGTTGAACAAAATGACCCAATACAGGTTTTTCCATCTGCTGTTTCTATAATTATCATATTTAGTAAGCTACTTCTGCAGTTGTGTCACTATCACTTTTTCTACAACTATTTTTTTAAAGGAAAGGTTTAAGAAGAAAGATCAGAGATCAAACAGGATTTTTGAATGGTGTATGGTTACATGTTTGGAGTCAAAATTTTTAGGGGAATTAGAGCACCATCAGTTAATGTCCACACTCACCCTTTTTCTGGGGTTTGACTTTATTGCTAACTCAAAACAGTAATACAACATTTCAGCCTAAGCTTCCTCTCTCAGTGTGGCTGTCATTAGGATTTCCCACCCTGTCCAACCTCCTTAGTTGTACCTACATTTCTTACATCCCAGGTAAAGTTAACAAATTACCTCTGCCATAATGAATCTGCAGAACATCAGGAGCTTTCTGCAGGGTTCTAACACCCACTGACAGAGTAGATCAACAGAAGAGGGCCCAGCCACCCTGTTGCAATGTAGTAACTATCACCAGTACTAATGTTAATGCCCCCTGGCATTTAAGAACTATCCAGGAAAGACTTAGGGTATGTCTACACTATGAGAGTAGTTCGATTTCACTTAAATCGAATATGTGGAATCGATATTGCAAAGTCGAATGTGTGTGTCCACACTAAGGACAGTAATTCGACTTTGTGAGTCCACACTAACGGGGAAAGCGTCAACATTGGAAGCGGTGCACTGTGGGCAGCTATCCCACAGTTCCCGCAGTCCCCGCTACCCATTGGAATTCTGGGTCGAGCCACCAATGCCTTCTGGGTAAAAAAATGTGTCGAGGGTGCTTTTGGGTAACTGTCGTCATCCGTCCGTCACTACCGCTCTCCCTCCCTCCCTCCCTGAAATCGCCAGTGGGAAATCAGTTTGCGCACTTTTCTGGTCAGTGACAGCGCGGACGCCACAGCACTGCGATCATGGAGCCCGCTGCGACCATCGCTGCAGTTGTGTCCGTTGTCAACGCCTCGCAGCTTATCATCCACCTTTCCCAGAGGCAAATGCAGATAAATCGGGCGAGGAGGCTACGGCACCGCGGTGAGGGCCTGAAGTCTGAGAGTAGCACAGGCCTGTCAGAAAGCACGGGACCCAGCGCCGAGGACATCACGGTGACAATGGGTCATGTGGATGTTGTGGAACGGCGATTCTGGGCCCGGGAAACAAGCACGGACTGGTGGGACCGCATAGTGCTGCAGGTCTGGGATGAATCCCAGTGGCTGCGAAACTTTCGCATGCGGAAGGGGATTTTCATGGAACTTTGTGAGTTGCTGTCCCCTGCCCTGAAGCGCAATGACACCCGGATGCGAGCAGCCCTGACTGTCCAGAAGCGAGTGGCCATAGCCCTCTGGAAGCTTGCAACGCCAGACAGCTACCGGTCAGTCGCGAACCACTTTGGCGTGGGCAAATCTACCGTGGGGGTTGTTGTCATGCAAGTAGCCAACGCAATCGTTGAGGTACTGCTCTCAAAGGTAGTGACCCTGGGAAACGCGCAGGTCATCACAGATGGCTTCGCCGCGATGGGATTCCCAAACTGCGGTGGGGCTATAGATGGAACTCACATCCCTATCCTGGGACCGGACCACCAGGCCAGCCAGTACATTAACAGAAAGGGCTACTTTTCAATGGTGCTGCAAGCACTGGTGGACCATCGGGGACGTTTTACAAACATCAACGTTGGATGGCCGGGCAAGGTTCATGACGCTCGCGTTTTCAGGAACTCTGGTCTGTTTAGACGGCTGCAGGAAGGTATTTACTTCCCGGACCACAAAATAACTCTTGGGGATGTGGAGATGCCTACAGTGATCCTCGGGGACCCAGCCTACCCGCTAATGCCCTGGCTCATGAAGCCCTATACTGGCGCTCTGGACACTGAAAAAGAACTCTTCAACTACCGGCTGAGCAAGTGCAGAATGGTGGTGGAGTGTGCTTTTGGCCGTCTCAAGGGGAGATGGAGAAGCTTACTGACTCGCTGTGATCTCAGCGAAACCAATATCCCCATTGTTATAGCAGCTTGCTGTGTGCTCCACAATCTCTGTGAGAGCAAGGGGGAGACCTTTATGGCGGGGTGGGAGGTTGAGGCAAATAGCCTGGCTTCTGATTACGCCCAGCCAGACAGCCGTGCGATTAGAAGAGCCCAGCGGGACGCGCTGTGCATCCGGGAGGCTCTGAAAGCTAGGTTCCTGAGTGAGCAGGGTAACCTGTGACTTTTAAGTTTGGGTACAGAGAAGCTGAACCTGCCCCCGTTTCTTTACCCAGTCAACGTTGACTATCCTCTCCAGTTACATACCCTCTTCACCCCCTTCCAACACACCTTTAAAAATAAAATGACTTCTATTTTGTTAATGGACACCGTTTTCTTTATTACTGTTTTAGCGGGAATGTTTTAAAGCTGGGACGCAGACTGTGGTGGGGAGCGGGTGTAGTGTACTGATGCAAATGACGCTTCTAAACTGCAGGAATGACAGGCTCCGCAGTGGTGGACTGTTTGTTTCAACGGAGCCTGCCAGCCCTCCTGATGGGGACTGCGTGTATGTGGTGTCTATGTGACTTTGTGGCAGGGGGAGGAGGGTTACAGATCCCCTGCTGCGTGGCTCTGTGATCCAGGATAAGGACCGCTGCATAAGATCTGTAACTGCCCTCCCCAGCCACAAAGTCACAGAGCAACCCCCCCCCCCAACAGAACATGAAAACCACCTCCCAGACTGACCAGGGTAACTAGTCACTGCACTGTGTGTGTGCCCTGCTGCTGTCCTGTCCAATTACCAACCCCCTTCCCCCCCTTCAGACAGACTCTCCTCTAAAGAACATGATGGAAACAGTAATGAACAGAAACGTATTTTTTATTAACAACCACACATGAAACTGGGGGGTGAAACTTGGACAGGGGCTTGGGTGAGGCGGGAAGGAAAGGACTTTTCAAATTTTGGGGAATGAGAGCCTTCTGGTGCTTGAGCAGTCTGCAGGGGTGGAGTGAGAGTTTTCACGGACTCTGCCGCCCCTCCTTCTTTGGACTTTGGGTGAGGGGGGTATGGGACTTGGTGGCGGGGGAGGGCGGTTACAGATGGACTGCAGTGGGGCTCTGTCCTCCTGCCTCCGTTCCTGCAGAACATCCACAAGGCGCCGGAGCGTGTCCGTTTGCTCCCTCATTAGTCCAAGCAGCGTTTGAGTCACCTGCTGGTCTTCCTGCCGCCACCTCTCCTCCCGTTCCATGTGTGACCGGTGCATTTGGGACAAGTTCTCCCTCCACTGGGTCTGCTGTGCTGCCTGGGCTCGGGAGCAGCCCATTAGTTCCGAGAACATGTCCTCCCGCGTCCTCTTCTTCCTCCTCCTAATCTGCGCTAGCCTCTGGGAGTGTGATGCCAGGCTGGGTTGGGAGACAGTCGCAGATGTGGCTGTGGGAATGGGAAAAAGGGAGTGAATTCCTCAGAAAGATAAATGTAGTTGTGAACAAAGAACATAGTCTTTCTCTGTGAACAAGACCATGCACAGCACTTATCACATGCGCACTCAGGACAAGGTCGAATTTTCGGCCCTCGCATTCAGTGCCTGGGGTCTTGCACTGCCGATCTGAGAAGCGGGGCAGGACACCGGAATTTGTGTAGCAGGCAGACATGGTAAGCCGTAGACTTGTGGCTGCTTAAAACTTTAATAGTAGCACTGACCTCCTTTCACATTGAAAGCAACGCCAGTCCCTGCTGCCAGCAATCCGGCAAGCATCAACTCTGCCCCTGTCCCACCCCCTCGCGGCTGTCCCAGGGAAAGATCCCTGTTTGCCGCCCCTCTGCCGCCTCCACCGCGTGGCTGTAAACCGGCGGTTACAGTTCTGTAAAGGAACGGGCAAGCAGTCCCAATACTAACATTCCCCTACCTAATTCAAAGCAGGTCACCATGAGCGACATCACCCTGATGAGGATCTCAGACAGAGATAAAGAAAGAATGCTTCGGGAAAGCCTGCAAAGACCAGGGCCGTATGCCGCCATGCTCTGCAGGGCAATGATCCCGGAGTACCTGATGGTCTCCTGGCGTGGAAACGTTTCATACCACGGAGGACCCAATAAGGCCGCTCTCCCCAGGAACCTGATGCAAAGGCTTTCCAATTACTTCCAGGAGAGCTTCGTCAAGATGTCCCAGGAGGATTTCTGCTCTATCCCCGGACATGTAGACCGCATTTTACTGTAGCTGCACTGGCAGGGACTAAACAGTAGAGCGGCTTGGGCAGAACAATTATGCAAAACCGGACATTGTTAGATTTTTTTTTAATAGTTGCACTGCCCAGGACTGAAACGTTAAGCGCCTAGGGCAAAGTAATCATGCACAACCCATTGTTAATATTCTTAATATTCCTGTTCTGTTAAAAATAAATGTTTACATGTTTAAAACACTTACTGGATGATCCTTCCCCTGATTCTGTGTCCGGGTTAACGGCTGGGGACGGTTGGTAGGGGATCTCTGTAAGGGTGATGAAGAGATCCTGGCTGTCGGGGAAATCAGCGTTGCAAGCGCTGTCGACTGCCTCATCCTCCTCATCTCCTTCCTCATCTTCCCCGTCCGCTAACATGTCCGAGGAACCGGCCGTGGACAATATCCCATCCTCAGAGTCCATGGTCACTGGTGGGGTAGTGGTGGCGGCCGCACCTAGGATGGAATGCAGTGCCTCGTAGAAACGGGATGTCTGGGGCTGGGCTCCAGAGCATCCGTTTGCCTCTTTGGTCTTCTGGTAGCCTTGTCTCAGCTCCTTGATTTTCACGCGGCACTGCATTGCATCCCGGCTGTATCCTCTCTCTGCCATGGCTTTAGAGATCTTCTCATAGATCTTTGCATTCCGTCTTTTGGAGCGCAGCTCGGAAAGCACGGACTCATCTCCCCACACAGCGATGAGATCCAAGACTTCCCGATGAGTCCATGCTGGGGCCCTCTTTCTAGTCTGAGATTGCACGGCCATCTCTGCTGGAGAGCTCTGCATCGTTGCCAGTGCTGCTGAGCTCGCCACGATGTCCAAACAGGAAATGAGATTCAAACTGCCCAGACAGGAAAAGGAATTCAAATTTTCCCGGGGCTTTTCCTGTGTGGCTGGTCAGAGCATCCGAGCTCGGACTGCTGTCCAGAGCGTCAACAGAGTGGTGCACTGTGGGATAGCTCCCAGAGCTATTAGCGTCGATTTCCATCCACACCTAGCCTAATTCGATATGGCCATGTCGAATTTAGCGCTACTCCCCTCGTTGGGGAGGAGTACAGAAGTCGAATTTAAGAGACCTCTATGTCGAACTAAATAGCTTCGTGGTGTGGACGGGTGCAGGGTTTATTTGATGTAACGGCGCTAAATTCGACATAAACGCCTAGTGTAGACCAGGCCTTTGTTTCTACCCTAATGGAGTATAACACAGGAATTAACCTGCACTATTCAGTTTGAATACTTCTAGTTGTAATTCATCCCAAGTAGGCACAGAGTCACAGCAAAAGACAACATAATTTCTGTAATTAAATTGTGGAGGATAGTTCATCAATCTTCAATAAGAAAAAAAGTTTAAAAATAACTTTTAATTTTGCTGCTCATCTTTTCCACATAGGGCAGACACATTATAGATATAGAAGCCTCAACAACCATAAGGGGAAGTTTATTTCCAAAAGCCATGATTCTGGGAGGTGCCGAAATGCCATAGAGTTCAAAACTTTGGAATAGTACAAAATCAAGCCTACTGGAAATAATGGCAACTCATATCGAAGTCTGCATCAAAATTCAATGGTGAATTCTGGAAGACATGTAAAAAGGTAAGTTGCAGTTAGGTAACCGATAAAGCAGTGTATCCTGCACCAATGTGACATTCAGTAGGTATGCAAAACAATATCATCCCCCTCCAATTAGTTGGTTTTCCTAGTACTCACACTTTCTGCCATCTCATCAGGCAAGTTTGCGTTCTTTTGGCACATCCATTGAATACCATCTTTGTGGAAGTTATGCTGCATTACCAACTATACACATCTTCCAATGTACTTAGATTGATTATGCAACTTATCCCACCATGGATACCACTGTATTTGGCCAGATATGTTGTCTTTGGACTAGTCTGTCAGTCTCTAGATGGGAAGGTCTTTGTTAATGCCCTAGCTTTCTATTCTGTTACTTTGATTGAATAAGTCAACTTTCAATCATGGCAACTATTGTGAGTCAAGAACTGAGTGGTGATGAGAGTTTACTACATTGGTCCACAAACCTGTATAATCATTAAATGCCATATCTGCTCTCCAGCCACAAGTAGCCTATCCTTCAGGAAAACAAAAACCTTAAAATCTGACAGGATTCTAAATGTATAGTATTGAACAGTTCAGTAGTCGTGGGAACCCAGGCTTCAGTCCCTGCAATGAATTGGCTAGAGTATTTGAAATCACTGCCAAAGTATTTGAAATGTGAAGCACCACATGTGGCAGAATGGAAGCCTTAGATTCTGCATGAACAGTTGACAACTAAGATTCAGCCTTCTTTTTTCTAATCAAACTTGAATACCATGGAAGGAGAGAGGACCTATGTGCAGTGGACTAATTAACTAATGCCTCTTTTATTCAGAACTAAGTTCAAATTCTCTCTTAGGACACAAGTGAAAATGAATTTGATGTTTTAATCTTACTCCTCAGTTTATGTACATCACAAGGGAATAGACTCTGTGTTCTTTTTTAGTATTATATATCTTTGAAATAGGTAGTGTGTAGCTGAACTGGTCCAGGAGCAGTCCACCGGAGTAAATATAACAGTTCCTTCTCTGTTCCACCTTGTTCCAGGGGGAAGTAATGTGCATTTTGTCTGTATAGATTGCTGAGCTCCTCCTACATCAGCTCAACTCCACTGGCAAGTTAGGGGTGGTGCAATCGGGACTCCACTTATTCTACCTCCCCCTGTCCACTCACTTGCTCACAGTTGGGAGAGGTGGCCCTGAGGAGCCTGATCTCTGCTGCACACCCCGAGTGACAATCCAGGGAGGTCACATGCCAAGGGTTAGGGAAAGGTGTTAACTCTCAATTACATCCCTACATGGTACGGCTTGGTCCAAAGTTACTACACAATACCACGGAATTTGTAATCTCTGCTCTAATAACCCAACAGATTAGGATTGAGGTACAATGACAAAGAGAAGCTCGTACTCATGTCTTGTGGTATGGTTTGCTCAAATCTCTATTATAAATCCTTCATTTTTGAGCTCCAAATTTATTCACAATTTTTTAGCAAAGAAAACACAAGAGCATTGCCAATGATTGCATTTCAAAAATCTAAGTACAAATGTTTAAAATCATGCAGCCCCTAAATCTACTCCCATGGAGAATTATTTTGTTTTCCATATCAGTTGGTTTTCTCTCTCTTTTTAGGCAGAACACCTCCAAAGTGAACTAAATATATTTACAATAATGTTTGACACAGCAAGTAGAGAGGTAAGTATATTCTACGTTAAACTAGTTTCGCTTGTACATTTTAAAAACTTGTATTTGTAACCATTTTCCAACCTAGCAAATCACTGTATTTGTGTCAACATCAGTTTGACATATATTATCTCCTTTGTCAGTACCTCAGGTAATCATAACTTGTCAGATAATTTCACATAATTATGAAAGCAACTAGAAATAAATTGTGTGGTTTAATAATACATGATAATGTTTTAAAGATCTTTAAATAAATAAGTAAATGGCTTCTGCAGCATTAGTGTAATCTATTATATAGCATTAATATGCATAACAGATAGCTCTCAGAAGAGTAAGAGGATATTATTTTGATTTGATTTTAATTAGATATATATTGTTTCTTCCGTTATATATTACCCACACTAATACTGTAAGAGGCTTTTATGCATATTTAGAGATTTATTGCACTCAATGCTTTTAAACATCACTGGTGTCATACTAGTATTTTGAACAATGTTCACAAAGCCATCCTAATTTTGGAGGAAATTTGTGTTGGTTTAAAAAAGGATAAAATTATATTCCCCGTTGAAGAAAGCCGTAGTTTTAAGTGTGTACTGTCATTTGAAAAATATGAGTAAGTTTATTGTTCTTAAAGATCTGCAGATGGTTTGGTATTGAAACCATTTCGTTATATGGCTAATATGAATTACTAATTCTATTACAGCCAACTAGATTGTAAGGACCAATACTTTCTATCACTTATTCTTCATATAAGCTTTAGTATAGTGATCTGATGTACAATATGTTTCTTAACGAAGAATTTTATTACTAAACTAGATTTTTTTTAAATGATTTTTGTCTTCAGGACTAAAGGTTCAATTCTGCACCATTGAAATCATTGGGAGTTTAGCCATTAACTTCAATAGCAGTTGGATCAGACCCTAAATTCTCCACCTCTAGGAGTGAGAGAGACAGTAGGCAAATTTGATAGCTGGCCCTTTCAAGAGTCTGCCAACAAGAATACCAGTAGTGGTGTTTCTGTGATCTGAATACATAGCCATTAGGAACTGAACTGAGGTCACCAAATCCTTTTCAGAGGCTTCAAATATCTAGCAGATGGTCATAACTTTTGGTCACTACTGACCTGAGTTTGATTCAAACTGATGATATAAAGGGAAATGGCTTGACATCCTGTTCCCAATCGCTGAGCCATCCAGTCCCCTAGTATTCTAGATTTTATGTTCTGCTGAACTGTGCTAAAGTACTTCTCTGCTTTGACATTCTTTGTTATCTAAATGCTATGAACTAGCTATAAAGAAATACGTAATAAAATATATAAAAAGTAAAAAGAATACAGTATTTAAACTGAAACATAACAAGCTGTAAACTTTCCATTCTTATAAAATAAACCTGATTTCAATTAAAACAACCTCTGGAGGTAGACTAATGTATGTTATAATAAACGGGTAAATGTAAGGCGTGGGAAAAGTTCAGACATTCCTTCCAGCATATTGAATCAATTAATAGCATGTACAAGGAAACCCTGATTATTTGAAGGAGTGGAGAAAAATGACTTGATTCTTTACAACTAGTACAGACTATTATTAGTATTCCAGATAGAGTGTGTTCTAGGGAGTCCATCATAAGCTTTGATCTGTCTGCATCCACAGCTGGAAACTTTGCACCAGGCTCTGGAAGCAGCACGAACTGACAACAGTCGCCTCCATCAGGAAAGTGAGTTAGTGGTTGCAAATGTTAATCAGTGGATCAAAGAACAAAAGTGAGTAAAATTGGGCCTTTTTTAAAAATCTGATTTCATTTCCTATGGCCCCAAACAATTAAAGCATTCATAAGAACACTCTTCTCAACTTACTCTTATACCTTTTATCTGGAGCTGTGCAATAGTTCTTTATATGTGTGCTACCATTTTTTTTCATCACGACTTTTATGTGCTTTAAAATTAACATAAGTGGTCAAAAAACAAATAAATTATCTGTAAAACGGACCCAAATTTTCAGTATTGTTAATAACAAATGACAAAGTATAATAGAAATCTGTAGATAAGAAAAATCTATATATTCTTAGGTTTTAGGAGCTTCTCACAGATTTTGCTCATCTCCAGAATTGAAGCTTTCATTTTTTTAAAGTGAATTTTCTATCACTTATGCTTCTGAAGTTATCTTTTACCATGCAAACTGATGTACTGTTGTCTTAAGTCTTCAAACAAATGAAAAAATGTTATAAAGTAGAAGTATAAACGTCACACATCAGTTTCATAGATATTTATGTGGCTGTAATTCTGAATATGCATAACCGTTTAAAATTAGACTGAGTATTCTTTTGATTATTTGAATAATTTAAATATTTGCCACTGTCTTCAAAGGTAAATTTAAAAGGCATCTGTAGTGCATACTTGTCAGGTATAATATGCAGTGTTGTTGTAGCCTTATCGGGCCCAGGATATTAGAGAGACAAGGTGGGTGAGGTAATATCTTTTATTGGACCAACTTCTGTTAGTGAGAGAGACAAGCTTTCAAGCAACTTAGAACTCTTCCTATGGTCAGGAAGAGTACTCAGAGTGGCACAACTAAATAACTAAATAATGGGCCACTTCACCTTGAATGGTCCCTTAAAATGTGTGCTAACTATTTATATTATCCTATCTGTTGGATCTTGTATTTAGCTGACGCTCTGGCCATGTCTACACTTACTGGGGATCGATTCTGCTGCAATCGATGCAGCGGGGGTCGATTTAGCGGATCGACCACAGAGTGCTCTCCCGTCGACACAGTGTGGTGTAGACACCGCAGTAAGTCAACCTAAGCTATGTAGCTGGAGTAGCGTAACTTAGGTCGACCTACCCTGGTAGTGTAGACAAGGCCTCTGAGTACCTTTCCCAGACTTAAAGAAGAGCTCTGTTAGCTTTAAAGCTTGCCTCTCTCACCAACAGAAGTTGGCCCAGTAAAAGATATTACTTCACCCACCTTGTCTCAGATAAAACATAACCAGTTACTTTAGTACAGCTCATGGCTTATTGTGAGTTTCCATGCAAATTTGTCCAGAAACGGGAATACTGATCACTTTAGCATTATCCTATTATACATAAGAAGAAGGTTTCCCTTTGCCTTCACCTGAAATTCATCCCAAAAGTAATTTTTGAGTTTCACAAAAAAGCAACCTATCCACTTAGAGGTCTTCTTACTAAAACCTCATGATTCCAATGAGGAGAGGACACTTTCCTCTCTGGATGTTAGATGAACTCTGGCATTCTACCTACAAAGGATAAACTGGACTAGAAAATAACCCAGATTATTTGCCTCTATAGTGGATTGGTCATGATGACATGCATTATCTGCTCAAAGACACTCTAAGAGTATCTACAGCTGCATTTTTCTGAGTTACCAACTGGCGCGTATTCCTCCCCTGGCTAGGGTGAAAACCCATTCCACTACAGCACAAGATATCTCAATGACATCTCTTCAAAAGTAGCTATACTGGGTATCTGTAGAGAGGCTACAAAGCGCTCCATACACATGTTCAAAAAGCATTACTCATTTGCAGATACGGCTATTGGGACTGCAATATTACAGGCATTACAGGCCACCCCCCCCCCACACACACACCTGTTTAAATACTGCTTATAAATCATGCATGTGTTGAATACCACCTAAGGACCCACCCTCAAAGAAGAAATTGAGGTTCTTCAGTGAATGGAGGTTCTTCACTGCCCATCTGTATTACACTACCCACCCTCCTTCTCCTCTGCTTCAGATTCTTCTGATTTGCAGTGAGAGAGGAACTGGAGAAGCACTGGTCCTCACTGTCCCTTATGTCCTTGTTTCAAAGCACGAGGGAAAATATCTATGCAGGCATAGACCAATGCAAACTACTTGCTAGAAATCTTTGATATCAGGTGCATAGTATACACATGTACCCATATGTGGAATACCACATATTTCAAAGAACCTCCAGTTACACGTCAGTAATCTCCATATATCTGTGATCCACTAATAATGGCTCTAATTCCTCAGAGTACACATGCCTGACATGCATGTATGCAATGGTCAATACATTATGCAATTCAATCCTTCTGAATTTTCCCATAGTTCTTTTTACGTTTTTTAACTAGACTATTTTTGTATCACTGGAAGATTTCACCATTTATTGTCCACTTCCTTCTAAAAAAATCAATAAAACAAATAGTGATTCTGATACAGATCCCTGCAATATTCTACAGGGAACTTCTCTTCATTCTTGGGAGCAGTCATTTGGGAGCTTCTTGTTGCTTAACCAGTTTTTAATCCACAACAAGTCTGTATCTCTTTTGCTATGGTTATTTATTTTCCTTAATAGATACTTGTCAATAGCCCTTAGAAAATATAAGAAAATTATATCCATTGGGTCTTCTTCTAGCCACAATTTTATTAACTCATTCGAATAAATGGTACAGGTTAAAGAGGCACAAAGCTGTGTTGGTGTCTGCCCTTATCAATTTATACTTATCCAAGTATCCTATTAGGGCCTGCAACTCCCAGCGAAGCCAGTCAGTGTAGAGAATACATTAAGTCAACAATGTGACACTGTCTCAAAAACAGCTAATGATATACTGTGCTGTAAAACAAAGAGACTGTCCAGATCTGTGCAGTGGGAACCCATAGTACCTCTCAGGCACCACAGAAAGTGCTTTAAGAGTTTGGGGTGCACACACAAATATGGGAGGAGACTGGACGAGCCAAGGAAAGATATAGGGAAGTGGTTCTCAAACTTTATTGCACCATGACCCCTTTCTGACAACAAAAATTACTACATGACTTGGGCAGAAGGGCGGGGAGAGGGGTGAGGAGCCAGAGCCAGTGTCCCGCCGCCCCGGACAGGTAGGAAGGGCCAGATCCTGAGCCCTGCCACCCCGGGGTTAAAACCCTTGGGCTTCAGCTTCAGGCCGGGGCGGCAGGGCTCAAGCTTCAGCTTCAACCCCAGGCCCCAGCGAGTCTAATCCTGGCCCTGGCAACCCCATTTGGGGGTCCTGACCCACAGGTTGAGAACCGCTGATGTAGGGAATATGGGAGGGACATACTTTCCACCCTTCCCCACTCCAACCCTGCAGCAGTTCCCTTGAAAAGATCAGGCATCTTATCTTTCCCACAAAGCCCTCCCCAATGGGGGTTGGCACAACCAGAAGTATGACTTCAATAGAGCACAGGTCAGCAGTTATGTAATCTTACAATCATATATTTTAGCAGCATACTGGCACACATGCAAGACAATACATTAAAATAACACTGAACAGTAACAAGTCAGGTTTTATTAATACATTGATAAAGCTTTTTAAGATAATAGATACATTTTCTAAGAGACAATGTTGGTGCGTGCATTAAGGGAATGTTGGGTTTTTTTTCAAACTGTTTGGGGCAGAAACCCAAAAACATGCATCAGTTTCAGATTCAGGCATCTAAAGCAATAGACTAGATGAAATGAGGGAACGTGACTGCAGTTTGTTTTTATAAACATGAATATAACTTGGTATCAGCATATTTGTGTAATTAATGTTACCAACTTCATTAATTAATTGATTGCAGATTTTAAAAGGATGGTTCTAATATGTTTTAAAAGTACAGCTCTACAGAATTTGTTTTTGTAAAATGAATCCAACCTCTACTGTACTCCAGGAGTGGTATTTAAATATCCACTATGGTTATATGTCAAAGTCAGTTTCAGGTATTGCAGAGTTCATTACGTCTACACTGCAATGTAAGCTGGGCTCAGATTCAAGCTTGAACCCCCTTCCTACACACAAATCTCTTGGACTTGGGCTTGGACTTAGGATCCTAGGATCCAGCAGGTATGGAGGGGTCAAGTCTGAATCAAGTTGTGACCCAGGGTTCGAGCCCTATTGCTTTGCAGTGTAGACACAGTACCCCCTCCCCCGACTGTGGTCCTGAGAGTCCACCAAAAGTATCCCACAATTGCACAGGGTCAACTTCCTTTGTCTTCTCTATTCCAAGAATCTCCAATCAACGCCAGTGAAAAGGGAAGCAACCCGCCTTGGTGTACTGCAGCAGCTCAGTGAGTCAGCATTGAGCCTTCCATTGTCTTTCTGACCACCACCCTGGAAAGACACTGAGTTTGCAATGAAGACTGAACAGAATAAGCATTTTGCAAAGAGTGTTGCTTCATGGGTCACAGCAGCACAGCCAAATTTTGGTAAACCTCTGGTGCGAGGCCAGCAAAACAGTGGATATCAGTAACAGTACCAGGAATGACCACGCATACCAACAAATAGTGAAGACTCTATCAGCGTAACAAATATACTGGTCTGGTGACCAGTGCAGGGAGCGGATTAAGCATCTCACAACTGAGTACAGGAAAATCAGAGACCAGAACTGTAGCTCAGGCAACTCTCTGATATTGTGCCCCAGTACTGCACTGAGAATGAAGACAATGGTGGTGTATGATGATGTGTCAAGCCAGGATGGCATCCTGCTAGCCCCAGAATCCAGTCTTGGGGTGATGGGAGCCAGCAGCAGGTGCACAGTGAGGTCAGCAAAGTGATTCTGTTGCTGAAATCATTCCCACAGGAGCATCAGCAGCACATCCTGGGCCATACTTGGTGGAGCTGTTTGATACCTGATGAGGAATAGCCCACCGTGGAACCTGCAGCATATAGGATAGAAGCCACCCTGGAGCCTGGTAAGATTCTGGCTCTATTATAATGTTTACTAATATAGGAATGGGAGAGATTTCCATTCTATGAACCAATGTAAAACTTATTAGAAGCCCTGGCTAGCAGTGTGTATCCATTAATGGCAGATTGTATCCTAGTGGCAGGATCTACCATGTGGCATTCAAAGTGACGACCAGGAAATGCAAACAGTAAAAATGCCTTGAAAGTGATTTTGTGTGTGTGTGTGTGTGTGTCTGTGTCTGTGTGTGTGTGTGTATGTGTAAAGGCACAGATTTTTGGTAGGTCATTCCTGTTTCTTAACAGTAATAACCTTACATTGCCATACTTGTAAGCATTGCAGCCGGATGCAGCCCTGTCCATGACTTGGCCTCTGCCAGGCAGGAGCAGCTCCTGCTCCATGGGGAGGAAGGAGGGGCAGCCCATGGCCCGCCAACATCTGCTTTTTCGAATGCAGTCTGTCTGTGTCTGTGTAGACTTCCTGTAATGCCAGCTTCACCTTGCTTTTGAAGTGCAGTTTGCAGAGTTTCCTGTCTGAACCACAAACAGCAGCGGAAGTCCTTGCTGATGTGAAGGGCTTGCTTAAAGCTATATTACCAATTGTATTCCTGCTTATGAATATGTAATCAATATGTAAGGAGTGAGTGAGATAGTGTGAGTGTAAGGGTATGTCTACACTACGGGATTACTCCGAATTTACAGAATTCGATTTTGGGCAACCGATTGTATAAAGTCGAGTGCATGCGGCCACACTAAGCACATTAATTTGGCGGTGTGCGTCCATGTACCGAGGCTAGCGTCGACTTCCGGAGCGTTGCACTGTGGGTAGCTATCCCATAGCTATCCCATAGTTCCCGCAGTCTCCCCCGCCCATTGGAATTCTGGGTTGAGATCCCAATGCCTGATGGGGCAAAAAACATTGTTGCTGGTGGTTCTGGGTACAGCCTCACCCCTCCCTCTGTGAAAGCAACGGCAGACAACCGTTTCACACCTTTTTTCCTGGGTGAACTGTGCAGAAGCCATACCATAGCATGGAGCTCGCTCAGCTCAAGACAGCAGTCATGAACATTGTAAACACCTCATGCATTTTCATGCAGTTTATGCTGAACCAGAACCTGGAAAACCAGGCGAGGAGGAGGCTGCGACTGCAGTGCGGCGACGAGAGTGATGAGAACATGGACACAGAATTCTCTCAAACCGTGGGCCCCGGCGCTTTGGAGATCATGCTGCTAATGGAGCAGGTTATAGCCATGGAACGCCGATTCTGGGCCCGGGAAACAAGCACAGACTGGTGGGACCGCAGTTGCAGGTGTGGGACGATTCCCAGTGGCTGCGAAACTTTTGCTTGCATAAGGGCACTTTCATGGAACTTTGTGACTTGCTTTCCCCTGCCCTGAAGCGCCAGAATACCAGGATGAGAGCAGCCCTCACAGTTGAGAAGTGAGTGGCGATAGCCCTGTGGAAGCTTGCAACGCCAGACAGCTACCGGTCAGTCAGGAATCAATTTGGAGTGGGCAAATCTACTGTGGGGGCTGCTGTGATGCAAGTAGCCAGAGCAATCACTGAGCTGCTGCTACCAAAGGTAGTGATTCTGGGAAATGTGCAGGTCATAGTGGATGGCTTTGCTGCAATGGGATTCCCTAACTGTGGTGAGGCGATAGATGGAACCCATATCCCTATCTTGGCACCGGAGCACCAGGGTAACCAGTACATAAACCGCAAGGGGTACTTTTCAATGGTGCTGCAAGCACTGGTGGATCACAAGGGACGTTTCACCAACATCAACGTGGTATGGCCGGGAAGGGTTCATGACGCTCGTGTCTTCAGGAACACTACTCTGTTTAAATGGCTGAAGCAAGGGATTTACTTCCCAGACCAGAAAATAACCGTTGGGGATGTTGAGATGCCTATAGTTATCCTTGGGGACCCAGTCTACCCCTTAATGCCATGGCTCATGAAGCCATACACAGGCAGCCTGGACAGTAGTCAGGAGCTGTTCAACTACAGGCTGAGCAAGTGCAGAATGGTGGTAGAATGTGCATTTGGACGTCTAAAGGGTTGCTAGCGCACGTTACTGACTCGCTCAGACCTCAGCCAAACCAATATTCCCATTGTTATTGCTGCTTGCTGTGTGCTCCACAATCTGTGTGAGAGTAAGGGGGAGACCTCTATGGAGGGGTGGGAGACTGAGGCAAATCACCTGGCTGCTGATTACGCGCAGCCAGACACCAGGGCGATTAGAAGAGCACACCAGGAAGTACTGCGCATCAGAAAAGCTTTGAAAACCAGTTTCATGACTGGCCAGGCTACTGTGTGAAAGTTCTGTTTGTTTCTCCTTGATGAAAACCCGCTCCCTTGATTGACTCGTTCTCTGTAAGCAACCCACCCTCCCCCTTTGATCACAGCTTGCTTGCAAAGGAAATAAAGTCACCATCATTTAAAAATCATTTTTTCTTTATTAATTGATTATAAAAAGAGGGAGAGAACTGACAAGGTAGCCCGGGTGGGGTTTGGGAGGAGGATAGGCGGGAAGGAAAAGGCCACTAAAAAAGTTCAATATAATAACAGCCTTTTGGTTGGGTTGTCCGCTGGGGTGGAGTGAGAAGGTGCACGGAGCCTCCCCCCACCCCGCATTCTTACACGTCTGGGCGAGGAGGCTATGGAACATGGTGAGGGGGGAGGGCGGTTATACAAGGGCTGCAGCAGCACTCTGTGATCCTGCTGCCATTCCTGAAGCTCCACCAGACGGAGCATGTCCATTTGCTCACGCAGCAGCCCCAGCGTTGCATCCTGCCTCCTCTGATCTTCCTGCCGCCACCTCTCATCTCGAGTGTCCCTCATGGCCTCACGTTCACTGACATCTTTCCTGTACTGTGATACTGCGTCCTTCCACTCATTCAGATGAGCTCTTTCATTGTGGGTCGATTCCATGATTTCAGAGAACATTTCATCTTGCGTCCTTTTTTTCCGCCGCCTTATCTGAGATAGCCTTCGGGACGGAGGAGGGGGCTTGAAAAATTTGCAGCTGCGGGAGGGAGGGAAAAAAGGGAGAGAAGTATTTAAAAAGATACATTTTACAGAACAATGCTTATACTCTTTCACGGTGAACAACACTATTCACATTACATAGCACATGTGATTTCAGTAAAAGGTCGCATTTTGCATCTTAATATTGAGTGCCTGCGGATTTGGTGTTAGAGATCACAGACGCAGGTCCGGGCAACAGAATTCGGCTTGCATGCGGCCATGGTAAGCCATTGTCTTTCGGCTTCTGCAGCCTTCAGAAAAGCAGCGCCCTCCTTTCCCACAAACCGAGCAAAGCCCGTTGGTTGAGTGCTGTGGTTTTCCTGTTAATGTGCAGCAGCAGAAACCAAACTAACCCCCCCCCCCCACATCCAATTCTCTGGGATGATCGCTTTATCCCTCCCCCCACTGCGTGGCTGGTATCAGCGAAGATCCCTGCAGAAACCAAACTAACCCTCCCCCCCATTCAGTTCTCTGGGATGATCACTTTATCCTTCACCCCACCGCGTGACAGGTATCAGGGAAGATCCCTGCTAGCCAAACGCAAAAAGCTCAGCGCCAATCCCCCTCCACCCCCCGCTTGGCTAACTGCAGGGAAGGCTTTCTTTTCAGCCACAGGCAAACAGCCCAGTAGGAACAGCCACCTCTGTCCCCTTAATTAAATTCCTGTATTTCAACCAGGTTACCATGAGCGATATCACTCTCCTGAGGATAACACAGTGAGATAAAGAACGGATGTTGCTTGAATGCCAGCAAACACCGGGACCATACGCTGCCAGGCTTTGTCATGCAGTGATACCAGATTACTTGCTACTAGCATGGTGTGGTCAAGTGTCCTACCATGGAGGACGGAATAAGGCTGCACTGCCCAGAAACCTTCTGGAAAGGCTTTTGGAGTACCTCCAGGAGAGCTTCATGGAGATGTCCCTGGAGGATTTCCGATCCATCCCCAGAAATGTCGGGGAGGAGTACAGAAATCGATTTTAAGAGCCCTTTATGTCGAAGTAAATGGCTTCGTCGTGTGGACGGGTGCAGAGTTAATTCGATTTAATGCTGCTAAATTCGAACTAAACTCATAGTGTAGACCAGGCCTTAGAAACCAATCGCAAATCTTGAACCGAAATATTACCATGTAAGGATAATCAAGGTGTATATGGGACTGTATATAAACCTATGGCAGTAGCGGCCAGAGAGAGATGTAACCCACAACAGTAAAAAATCAGGACCAGACTGGAAGCAGTAGGGCCTTCCCGTAGATCCGAAGGGACATCGAGGACTCTCATCACGTTGCGGTTCGATCTCTGGGAAGCTGAAACCTGGCCAGTCTCAGTCACCTAGGACAAAAGCAACATCCGCGTCTGCAGCCTGTCGCCAGTATGAATGGGATGTGTGTGTGAGTATAATTGCGCAAATAAGGGAAGCAAGCAATAAATCAACCCTCAGTACTGCTTCAGTTCAACCTTTGTGATTATTTCTTGGCTGGTTCCCAGAACGGGCAACAAGCACGCCAATCTGTAACCATTCAGTGGTGTAATGAGTTGCCTGGAACAGTGAACTTTGTGCAGGGGGGGAAGCGGGAGGTGGAAATGGGTTCCATTCACAAATCTACTCCATTTCAGGGAAAAGTTGTCCATGCAGTCCATAGGTGACAAAATAATTTGTCCCAAATTTGACCGGTATTTGAAAATGTGCCAGGTTGAAGGGGAGGGTATGACTGTGGAGTTCTATGCGTTTGCATACAGTCATAACCAGCTAAGCTGTGTAGAACCTAGCACAGCGTCCTGTTGATTCCCTCATGAATTCTGACCCAATCCTGGGTGATAAAAGATGCAAACTTTTCCTGAAGCAGGAACTCCAGGTAGGTAGTTGCATTTTGGGGAAGGGCGTATTTTCCAGGGCCACCTCGGTAGCTGACCAGGCCACTCCACGCATAGAAGTGCTGTTCAGTCACTGTACATTTGAATATTTTGGGTGTACACTCTGCAGGATTCCCACCATCACCTTGGAATGACATCTCCCTTTGCCAGTCAGGCACCACAATAACTGTTATGTCCTTCAAAAGGTGTAAGGCCTGAAATGATCGAAAAAGCTTTTGTAGCAAGGCCACTGACAGCCTCCCATAATGAAAGTGTTAGAAAATAAAAAACAGCTTTGAATTTTAACTTAGATTTGTCTCTGCACTTCTTTCACTGAAATTCACCAGGCTATGTCCAAGTAGCTTCTGTGGTCTGAAGCATCCCTCTCACAATATACTAAAGTTCAGCTTGTAAAAGTAACATTTTATGTCTTGGAAATTCCACAAGGATTTTTTCTGTGCTCCTGCCCTGAGCTATTTGAGACAGTAACCCTCTGTGTCTTTTTCTATTCTAGATCCCTCAGCCTCTACTGACTGCAGTATCTCCACAGCACACTGCAATACAAACCTAGACCAAATATACCTTCATGGACCATTCCAAGATGGAGCTTTTGCATGATGAACTTATGGTTGAAGATCTGGACAGGGCCAACAAGCAGTCCAGTATCAAAAACAGAAGGACTTATGGCTAGAGAAAAGGCATGGCAAGAGGTAAGGCTGAGACTGGCTGCACAGCCTGAGGACAGGGTTCAGTGTGGGAGCAGGCACTTGCTCCACAGTTCCTAGAACAGGAAAGGCGGCTAAGGAAGAAGGAGAGAGCTCAGCAGAAAGAACTGTTTGAGTGGCTGATATCAATAATGGATTACGCACTCCTGCTGCATCACCCAAAACACGGCCTGAGTCCTCTGCATTGTACTCTGGGATTCAGTCCAGAAACAGCTTGGAAAACTCCATGGCTGGGTAGCCCATTCAATCGGTCCCCATGACTGGCTGGGGAGGGCAACTTTGCCCCATGCTGTCCTCCATATTTACCTCCTACTCTGTGGATGCTTCTACCCCTCTCCCATCATGTCAAGTGCACAGCAAATGGAGAAAGAAGGGAAAGGAGAATGGGGAGGCAAAGAATGTGCAATGGTAGGGGGCTTCCATCTTGTACTTGGTTTCACTGTTTACACTTGTTCAGGCACTTTTTTGTTTGTTTTGTTTTTTCTGTTAGGTTCTGTTGTTACTGGTGTTTTGGTGTGGTAATCACAGATGGCCTGCCTGGCCATCGTTGAATGTTGTACTTTTTCTAATACTTATTTATAAATAATGCTTTTTATGTCATCAAGAAAATTTATTGTTATCACTACCTCATATCATAAGTGTATTTAAAATAATAAAGGTAAACAAATGATCTGGGACAATCAGGAATTAGTATGCAAACACTATTCCTCTGTACAGTTAGGTACCTCAGTCCACACATCAATCACTTCTTTATATGAATCCATACTGTGAATCCCCCCCCACCACCACCACATATTTCATAAATGGCCATATCATTCATAGGTATATTGCTTGGCAATCAAGCCCACCCCCGCAATGCACTGAACCTGCTTCCCAAATTAATGATCCCCAGCCCCAGCTCCCACAGGTACATTCATAAAGATATTAGTTCCCCTCTTTCATTGGGACATGCAAGTCCATAATGTGGTGGCACAAAGCATCTCTGACTTCTGTGGCCCTGGTGCATCCAGCTCCAGTTACGGTAGGTGCACTTTCTGACTGAGTGTATCAATTCAGTGGCCCCTCACTGTCATAGGTCCATTCAGGGGGAAATGGCTCACTTCTGGCTTCACACAGATTGTGAAGAGCACAGCAAGCTGCAGTAATTCAAACAGCAGTGATGACACAGCATCCAAACATGTCAGTAAACATCTCAAATGAGATTTCAGTCTATCAAAAGCACATTTAACAACCAGTCTACACCTGCTGAGAGCATAATTAAACCGTCTTTTGCCAGGGCCTCTGAAATCAAGTTTCACAAGCCAAGGCAAAAGGGAATACATGGGATCCCCTAGAAGAATGCTGGGGACAGTAACTCCATGATGACAATTTAATTTGGTCAGATTAGTGTCCCAGCCTGTCCATGAATGTAGACGTCTGCTCCGTGAAAAACCCTGGCACCATGAACTTTCCCAGTGCAGTCCATGTTGATATTCATAAATGGATCTCTGTGGTTTACGAGGGCCTGCATAAGAATGGAGTAGTACCTTTTGCAGTTTATGTACTATGTGTTCCTTGAAGAGGGCGAACTATGGGCACATGAGTCCCATCAAGGGTCCTGGCACAGTTTGGAAACTATTCTCGCAAAGCTAGCAGTTACTTCAGGAATATCTTTTATGCCTCCCATCTTGGGGTAAACTGCACCCCTGATTGCCTCAGAAACCTCCAGTACCACTTTACCCACAGGCAACTTCTCAGCCCCAAATTGATTAGCAACAGATCCATAGAAGTCAAGGGTAGCCAGCTTCCAGACACCTATAGCAGCCCACTTCTGGACTGGCAAGGGTGTCCTCATGCATGTGTTGTTATGCTGGAGGGTCGGGGCAAGCTGCTCAGAAAGCTCCAGAAATGTAACTTTCTTCCTATGAACATTCTGGATGTACTGCTGATCATCTCAGGTCTGTCTGATGATGTGATCCCACCAATTTGTGCTTCTGGCCCTGCACCATATCAATTTGCAGCGTTAGTGCTCACTTAGTGGCGGTTTGATGGAGTAGTACCATTCTATTTACTTATTCACTCATCTGTTCATTCTTCCTGTTTTGTTTTATTTAATATATCTTTTTGTTCTGTTTACTATTCTTTTACTCTGTGATCTGTGAGGTAATTAAAAAAAAATTAAGAATGCTAAATCAATATTACCAACATGGTTGAATTTTGCTTATGATATTAACTGTCTTTTAAAGACATATACATTGTTGTCTTTTTATTTGAAAGGTCGTTAAATGTCTTCGAAGAACTGCTGAATTGTTTATTGATCTCATAATTATATATTTCTTGGTACTTGTGATGTCTGTCTCTTTGTGTTACATTATTTTAAAATAATGTAATAAAATATTAAAGAAAAAATGAAAACCGAGGCCTAAGAATAGATCCCTGAGGCGCCTCCATTTGAAAAGCTCCTATATCAGAGCTGTTGTGTACAATTCCTCAAATAATCTGCAAACCTCTTTATGGAGTCACCTATGAGCCTACAGTCTCTGAGTTGTTGGAGTATTTATGGTTGATAAAAATTGCTCCTGCAACTATGTTCCTCATCTATTGAATTAGAGATGTCATTGGTGATGTTAAGTCAAGAGCTGTATTGGTAAAATAACAAGCTCTGAAGTTTGACTATGTTGTAGTCAGAAGAGTCTACTACTGCAGGCATTTGAGATCTGTGAACATGACCTTTTTCAAGTAATTTTTGTCAAACCAGAATGTGTGTCTATCAATACTGTTCTTTTACTTTTTCCTTTAGATCAGGAACTATTCTGGCACTCTTCCAAACAGATGAAAGATCTTGCTTGAAAATGGGAGCAATAATTTAATAAATCAGTTAGTGCCTTCATTATTGATAATGAAGGCAGTTTAAAGAACTTCAGAACTCTAATAATATGTGTGGCCCTTCTGTGTGGCTTTTTGTATTTTGCTGTCTCTTTTAAAGATGAGGAAATACAAACTGTTGCAGTATTCAAGATGAGGACATACAGTGCCTTTGTTTTATTCCCTTCTCAATACAACCTAATATTGTTCTTGACTGCTTCAGTTCTTTGAGTGAGTTATTCACTGACACCTTGTTCTGTTTTTGAAAAGTTTTAACTAATTTAGAGCCCATCTGTGTGCATGAGTAATTTAACTGGTTCCCTCTAATGTGATTTACTTTGCTCTTGACTATGTAGAATTGCATTTGCCATGTGTATTTGCCCAAATACTTAAATTTGTTAGGTCCTCCTAAATTTCCTCACTAACTTCTCTAATCTTGATTACTTTTCTTTTTGGATGTGGTGTTCACTGAAATTCTGAAAGTGCTGTGAGAAGTTAATTTCACAACGTATGGTTTGGTTCCATATATTTTTTGGCTTCTGAAGACCTGAGAGGAAGTACTGGGTCTGTTGCTAACCCAGATAATGCAGTGAAGCACTTTTGAAGATTTCTGCTTGACACTGGGATGTGAAGGAAAGCTAGGTAGTTGAGGCTCAGTTCAGGTGAAGCTGAAGTGATGCTAGAAGTCTGGGAGAAGCACCAGAAGACATCAATTCCTTGATTATGGGTGTGCACCTGCCTTCAGTTACAAGGGTTTTGTTAGGTCTTCACAATATCTGAAGGTCTGTTAGTCTGAACAGGACTAATTTTTCCCCCAATTTGTGCTTGGCTAAATGACTGCAATGATTTCGTATATGGATCTCACTCTCATTACCCATACTTTGGTCAACCTGAGGTTAGCCTACAAACTGTTTAGCTATCACCTCGGTTTGTATTCACCAATATCATAAACTCATTTGGAAACTTAAGGTAGTGCATGACTGCCTCTTTAAGTGCGGTATCCTGTGACAATATAACACCATTTGCACTACTAGTTTCTGGGTGGAGTTTTACATTTGTTTTTTAACCTATAAATTCCAAGCAGACTAGGATCTGCCTACTGATAAAAAAAACAGGGCAATGATGACTAGGGAGCACTAAGAATTTAGAATTTCTGCATCCCAGCATCTCCCACATTTCTGTTATGTCTGGGCTGCTCGGACCACTCTACAGTTTCCAGAGGTTGTTCAAAGCTATGGCACTGTGTGTGCTGACCATGCCACCTCCTCCTCCTGCTTGCCACCATATCTCCCCGGCAGTAGTCAAGTGGTGGTGCATTTGCTCCCATCTTTTTCTTTTGCTTTCATTATCTTTTAGCCATTTTGGTGCAGTAGTGAGTTTGTTTCTTTGTTCCAAGCCTCCTCCTTGCTTCCTGGTTCAGGGTTCATGGTGTGTCACGGCCACCTTCATGGACCTTCACTAAAGCATCTTCCTGCTAATCTCTGCTGTCCTCTTTAAGGCATGGCAGAACAGCTGTGCAAGCTCTGGGCAAAGTCCAAAAGGCGCTTCATATTTAAGGGAACTTTCCCAGGCTCAGCAGAGGGCAAATTATGCCCAGCCTGCTCAACAGCCAGCTGACCTCAGCTAGGGCACAGAGTTTTGAGTCAGACAGGCATATTGGGGCCCCAACCCCCACAAGCAGCCATGACTCTTCCACAGAAAAACATGACCAGGATACACAGAGCAGAACAGGGAGAGGCTCTTATGAGATTTCATCCAGATGACCCAGTGGATAAGTCCTGGGGTGACATGAGGCTGCAGACCCCTGTGGGGCTACCAGTCCCTCCTCCCAAGTCTTGAAATCAGTCTTGAGAGCCTTGGGCAGAAAAGCAGAGTTCATCGCCTGCCCCACTTCCCTCCTAATTTGAGTCAAGGAACTTTGATCATGAGACCCTCTCCTCCCCCGCTCGGGTGGAGCGGGACCCTGAAGGGGAGGACTCAGAGGAAGAAGTTTCTAGAGGGCTCTAGGCTCTGTACAAGGCAAGCTGCAAAAGACTGCACTCTTGATCACAACAGGGCAGTAACACCCACAAAGTGCTCCAAAATGCCAAAAAAGCCCAAAAGGTATAAAAGGGGGAAGAAATAGTACAATAAATCCAGG